AAACGAAATCAGTTGCTCTATACTGCTGTAAAACTGTTATGGGAAAGATATGTGGCCTTTCTTCCAGGGTAATATATTAGCATACGAAAGCATAATCATTACAATTTTGTTATACGGGACTTACTATGTAGAAAAGTCTACCCGAGTTAAAAAGATAGAAACCAGGCAAAGAGCTGCTTTTTTCCGAAACCGCCCAGCTCTCCGGATATCTGTTGACATTGAGGGTAACGTTAGCGCAGTAAGCCCGACATCAGGCCACGAAGATCTAGATTTTCTTTCATTCGGGAAACAGATTGAGGCATTCTAAGGCTGACTCCGAACGGATCTTTTTCTGCACGCATCGCTCTAAGTGTTGAATAGATTTCCAATGAACAAGTCACGGATGGATCGAAATTGGATGGCAGAGTTGGTTGAGAAACTCTCCGTAAAGTTCGGCTGCCTGATTTCTGTAGCATTTTTTAGGCTTTCAAAGAGGCTGCCGACTAGCTACATATTAATAATAACCAGGGAACGGATTTTATGGAAATTGCCTTTTTTCTGCTAAAGAGATAGAGTGTACACGATTAAGAATGTCCACGATTTAGCTTTCCCTGCTCCATATATGCACATTTGATGTTGCCTGTTTTGTCGTTTTTAAGATATTTGCCTTTTCCACATTTAAAAAAGTGATTATGGCGAAGAAAAAGCCATTATTCCTGATAATATGATAATTTCAAACATTCCATATTTAAATTGGGCGCCAAGCGCACGTTTAGTACATTCAAGGACTTTCTTCGCGAAAATCGAATGAAAATGTTGCCAGAAAACTTCAAAAGGCATCTTGTGGTTCAATTTTACTACAACTTTAGAGATTAAAGTTTTGTGAGTTAAAAACTCGAAAGGAGAAAATAGTCAAAGTTAACATTTTTCAAATAATGAAACTAGTTCATATGTTTTCTCTTTTGACTTGTAATACATAGTAGAAACATTTCTAAAATAAATGTATTTTTAAATTATTTTTCGGTTTTTGTAATTTTTAGTGCCTTCTTTTGCCTTTTTTGCGATTTCTAGTGCCTTTTCCTGCCTATTTCGCTGTTTTATTTTGCCTTTTTTTATAAGTGTTTAGGTCTTAAAAATCACCATAAATATATAGCCAATCAGCAATCAGGGCCTTTAGATCGCTCATGGGACGATCGAAACTGCTCCGGAATGCCTCTCTTTCCCTTGATCGCCTTGGATTAGTTTCATATAAAATTTAGTTGGGTGCCAAAGCACAGGCCATCTTTTTAGACAGTCATAGCATACGAGTTCACGTAGCAACTTGTGGGATGCTCCTACACAGGCTACGGCATATATACCGTCAAGCCTCGATTTTTGCTGGAATGTAAATGTGTGGTTTCGGACCAGAAGAGCACGGGGCAGAGGCCAAGCTGCCGATAAGGAAGCCATCTGTATCCATACTGATGGGTTCATGATAGTGGGTGTAAGGACAGGGGTATATTCCGAAGAGCTTGGGGTCAATCGGTCTCTTCGGCTAGCAAACCATGCTAGCATATTTCAGGCTGAAGTTCTGGGCATATTTAAGGACTTTAGCATACTAAGCAATACAGATACGAGGAAATAAATAGTGGTGATTTACTCAGATAGCCAGGCAGTTGTCCTTGCTATATCATCTACTGAAATCAAGTCTAAACTCGGCTCGGCGTCTCAGTCAATGCCCATCTCCTCTTGGATGGATTAAAAAACATAGTAGTCAATGAAGGTAGATGAACTGGCCAAGGCGGGAGCTTGATAGATGAATCTGTACCCTTGACACAGGGTTATCCACTCTGGCAAATACAAACAGAAATCCACTAACTGAGATCCAGACTTGCGAGGTAGCATGAGAGGTTTGGCCTGACTTTAGCAGAAAGCAACACCAGAGCTAGTAAGTATTTAGTAAGGGCAGAAGTATTTAGAGTCGTAGCAAATATCACCTGCCATTAGCCGCTAGGAAAACATGCTTGTAGTATAGGTTTTCCATACAACAGAATATGCCGCAACTGGGGCTTAGATGGCAGCGGAGTAACCAGCGGAGGATCCAGAATTTTCTGATGGGGGGGCGGGGTTTTGTGGGGAATTTTTCCCCTTATTCTAATTATCTTAAACGAGCAATTTTTGTGTATATGTATATGTATCCATAAGTTTCTCGGCAACGGCTCTAACGTAGCAAAATGAAAAATCGTTTAAAAAAGACTTTCGAAGTTGTATTTCTTCCAATTGCCAACAACTTTTTATATGTCACGGGGAAAATACCGTAAAAATTTGTTGTATCGTGCGAATATCTATAGAAATTATCAGGGTTTGAAAAACTGTTAGCACAGCGACAACAGCCAAGCATTTGCTTCTTTATAAATTGTTGTTGCTTTGATAGCCGGCAATTACAAATACCTGATGAAGATCTTGCAGAAGCAATGGAGCTTAGCCGACGACGGCAAGATGCAGAAACAAACTTTCATTTCAAGAAGTATGCACCAACCTAGGTACATAAATCAAGGTACCGTGACGACTGCTATCGCCGAGGCATACTATCGCATTGCTTTTTACATTCCCTTCCTTGATACATATATTGCTCATTTGAAAATAGGGTTGCCAGATTTTTTATGCGCGAAATCAATACGTTAGACTTTTTCATGCCTAAAAAAAATCAGTACTTTTCAGTACATTTTTATTCAAAGCAAAATTTTGAATGTAAGTAACAGATATTTAATACTTTAAACCACCAGAGTACTTGTTTTTAACAATATTTTGGTATATAAGTAAAATATAGTTCATAAAATATAAAGGTGTTATTCATTTAAACATGAGTGTGCACATCCTTGTACACAGAAGCCAATAAATAATTTTATATGTATGACATTTTTGAATAGCAATAATGAGATCATTTCCATCTTCAGGGTTTAAATAGTCAATAAATTCTTTACATTTCATTTTCAAATTACTTTTAATATGAAGTTCACATTAAAAAATTTTAATTAGAAGCCTCTCTTTGCGCCAGGAAGCAAACTTTTTACTAAAGATCCTCTCAGTTGCTTCGTTTGAACAAAATTACATATTTTTTCAAATATGGAAAAGTACCACTATTTAAGGACTTCATCTATAATTAATTCCTCATGGCTTAAGTTAAATTTTTAAACTACGAAAAAACTTTGAAAGACTAAGAATTCGCTAAAAAGAGTATCTAATGGTGATTTCGATTCTTCAAAAAAATGTTGTCCTTCTCCGGTGCAAAATGGTTTAGATGTTACACTCAGCCCTGTAAAAGGGCATGTTTTGGCCTTCTTGTCCTTGTCTAGCTCACGCGTTTCATAATATTGTCGTTTTGAACAACCATCTGATTTTAAGGGCAACCATATCCCCTGACAAAGCTTCACAGGGCAGAGAATGTGCCTTTTTTGCCTTGCAAGAGTGTGAAATTTAAAAAAACTAACACACAATTTTCTCACCCTTTGCCTCTCATAAGCTGGTAACAAAGTATTGCCCCGTGAAATATGCAATGCCAGAATTTCCACAATTCTTCATAGCTGAATATTTTAACTGCATTACCAACGTACCTTGAATCGCGGTGACAAGAACTGGTAACATTTTTTGGTAATACAATTTTTCGGTTACAAAATCTTTGGTAACGTGCAGAACAGACCTGTAAGTGTCAACTTGGGTAGCAGTACAACCAACTTACACAGATGGGCTTACAGTCGGCTCAGCGAGCGCTGGGCGAAAGCCTCTCATGTAAAGACGTAAAGTCCTTCTAGCCGGTGATCAACCGGACGAAACGTCTTCACTAGACTAAACCCCAACTCTTGATTCTGACATGTGTCCTGACGGAGTATTATCCTTTGGTTGCCCATGCGATGTAACTTAATATCCTTACAAGTCACTATTGCCGCAGCTATTTAGATGATGATGCAGTGGAATCATCTCAGCATTTATTTATCAGCTGGCCGGCGCTCGCCAGATTAATACTGGTTTGTATTTCATCAACACTTAAGAGGAACTCTTTGGAGTTAACATCAATGTGAATATCAGCTGTCTGCGAAACTTTTAGCACTCAGCACTTTTCGTAAGTTCATAGGGATTACCTGTCTTATTACATATTTTTGAATTCCTTTTGCTAGTCTCTACGTCGTGCTTTTGTTCGGGTTTCGGGGCTTTCGAGAGAACTATTGCAACTATCCTGGATGTTGATCCTGGATGTTGATGCTCCAAGTCGCCCATTCTGTCCGCGTGCCTAGAGATATGACCAATTTATGTGGCGTTGTGAATAGCAAATACTCCTTAAACTTAAGCTTTCGACATATTGTCCGAAAAGTATTCACATAGTCTTAAACTAAGTTCCAACGGGCACTGCCAATTACGTTGTTCGCTTCTCAATTACTTTGGTGAATTATGCCGTTTACACGGCACGTTCTTAATTCGATTCGATAGTTCATGGTTTTTTCCTTCATTTCGCCCCCTTCTTTGATTTGAGTTCGATAAATTTCCGATTAAAATTAGAGACGGTAGCTATTTGTTTACAATTCGTATGGTAATTGGAAATTGAATTACGAATGAGAGAGCGTATTAAGGGCCATGGAAACATCGTATTAGTTTAGACAAGGCTAGACAGTCCCTAGAACAGTAATAGCTCGCTAAAGATCCTATTCCGCTGATTGCATTCTAGAAGAAAAATAGGCTTATGGTCCTTCCATTTGCTAGCGTCAGCCAGATGTGGCGAGCTACTTTACAAGCTTAACTTGTAAGATTCTTCCAGTAATAGTTGGAATTTAGGCACGTCTCTCTGAGCCTCCTCGAAAGGGTGCTATTAATTTTGAGAGTTTTTCCTCCTTCTTACAAGCTATGCTTTCTGGTGGAAAGGCTTACTCCACAGCGTTCCGAATTTGGCCAAATACGTTTTTAATTTTATCCACATACTCCCATTCAAAGACATGAAAAATTCAGCAAAGTGATTCCAAAATAATAATTCTTTCTTATTAATTTTTCAGCGTCGCAGTGATCGCGAAGAAATCCGCCGCCGTTTGGCTATGGGCTCGGAAGAAGTCAGTCAGGAGTCGAAAGAACGGAATGCTTGGAAGACGGGCATACAGTCAAGACTAGCAAGTAAAAACGCGCTCAGCTACTTTTGAATATTTCTTGTTCATAAACCAATCTTATTTTCACATACATACGTACATATTTAGGTGCACAACTAGGCCGCCTAAATGAGCCCTCTTCTGACACCGAGAGCCACAGCTCAGACTCCGAAACCTGTCCGAAGCTTTCCAAAACCAAATATAATGTGGATAATGCGAGTGCGGTTAGCATTTCTCTCGCAGATAAACCCACCTACCCATATGCTGGCAGCGGACGTGCCTCAATTTCGTCACATGGAACCATAGCTGCGGGCAAACAACAGAATTTACAAAAGACGCTGTCGGCAATCAGCATCGAGGACATGGAATGTGATTTCTTTACCAAGCAAGCCAAATTGCAAATTGAAGCGCGTATGGCCTTGGCGCAAGCTAAAGAAATGGCACACATGCAGATGGAGGTAAGACAATTTGAGCACATATATACATATGTACTTACATATATATCTACTTATACATATATATCTTCAAAATATTCACACACGTGCTTTTCAATAGATTGAGCGCCAAAACCGACGTGTATCACCAATTACCGATATCATACGGGTTTCACTGCGCAAAGTGGGCGTACAAATGACCGCCGATAAACGTCGAGTCTCACGGCAAATGCTTACCGATATGAATATAGCACAGCTGCAAGTGTTGGTCAATAGTCTGCATACACATATTGAAGAGTTGAATGAGTCATTAGTGCATAATTTGATGGAAAGGGATGATCTGCATGTGTCGCAGGATTCAATGCTGGCGGATATTGAAGAGCTTACGAGATACATGTAAGGAAACGATGAGGAGGAAGGCAGCTTTTATGTTGGAAGTTGCTTGAAAGTAGAAATAGAATACTACAATTTTTGATAATCTTAAATATCGGAAATGCTGTTATTTAACTAAAAAATCTTCATAAATTTATGGTACTTTAAAAACTGGAAAACATTTTGTTATGCCCCACAAACCGGATACACATGTTTGGCTATTTAAAAACTGGGCATAAATTTTGGACAATTTAAAAATTTTACATCAATTTATGACAATTTAACAAGTGAAAATACATTTTTTTACAAACAATTTTTTTTTTAGTCGGACATAAATTGTTGGTAATTTAATTATGGACATATTTTTTCATTTCACACTTTCATTTTATAATCGGACATTTTTGGTTAACAAAAACTGGGCATAAACTGGAGACGCATTTTTAGCTAATTAAAAATTGGACACATTTTTGGTCATTTAAAAATTTAATATACGTTGTAGGTATTTAGAAACTTTACATAATTTTTTTTTATCATTTAATAACTAAACATTAATTTGTACGTCACTCAAGTACCGTCCAAAAAAAATATCCAAACATTTGTGTTCAGTTTTTATAAGACCAAAAGTTTAGGCTCCGTTTTTAAAGTACCAAAAACATATGCCCAGTTTTAAGGATTCCAAAAATGTATGTACACTTTCTATGTATAAAACCATACATATATATTAGGGATGTTGCGAATGAGGAATTTTAGACATCCGCGGATGCGAATGCGGATGCGGATGTTTAAAAGGTATGTCAAGTGTTTTTAAGAAATAATTTAGGTGAGTAAATTAGGTGATTTAGGTAAATAAAACATGGAAAGGGTAGTAGTTTTTTATAATGTGTTTTTTTAGTACATGAATTTAAAAATTGGAACATTGTATTTAATAAAAACTTTTTATTAAAAAGTAGGTAATGTTGTTGCCTTTTCGGGTTACAGCCTGTTTCTTAAAGGGTCGCGAATCAAAGCTGCGCCTCTAAATGACTACTCGCTCAAGGCGACAAACTTGAAAAACTTTAAACTTGACAAAATGGTAAATTCTTTTCGATTGACGCTGCACCAGTTGAGAGCACTTTCAGTTATATTTATTTATTTTATTTTTTTGCGGGGCAATAATTACTTTTTGACAATTGCGTCGGGGCTGTAAATGTCGGATGTATACTCCTGACTTTCATATTCACAATCTAGCATCATGGCAAGATCGTTGTTTAAACACCGCTGTTTTCCAAAGCATTCTTCATTCTCATTCCTTTGGTTCTCTCTGAATTTGCAGAACCTGTGACGTCATCAGCGTTTTTCGATTTTAGTTTTTGTAAGTCATTTTTAATCCTTTCTTCCATGTTTTATCAGTGTACTTGCACAATATTCCAGGGACCGAAAATAACACGTTATTTTTTACGATTTAAGCTTGGCCAAATATTTTTTATTCCGAAATAAAAGTCCTTTCCGTATAATAAGCAAACACAAAACACTTATCTAAATTAAACAAATTTGGTATCATATGAAAGAGGACTGAAATAGCTTTTAAACAGAAATAACGAACGAAGGTTACCACCTCTACTTATATTTTTTTTATAATTTAATACTAAAGAAGTTCATATACCTGACCCAAATTTTGTTCTATGGTAATTAACTAACACATTTTATTTAAATATTTTGCAATATTTGGCCAAGTTTAACTCTTAAAAAATATCTGTTATTTTCGGTCCCTCCAATATTCGCATTCGGAAAAGATCCGCATTGATTATTGCGAATGCGACAGCGAATGCGAATGTCAAAATTAATGCTGAAGCTCCGCGGTTGCGAATGCGAATATTCGCAACAACCCTGATATATATGTATTTATTTTCAGTCTATAGATGTTCAGCTTTTCAGTTTTCAAAATGTATGTTCATTTTTTATTTACTAAAAATTTATGTTCAGTTAAGGGAACGTACCCATACTACGTGACCCACTTTTTGCAAATTTTAACCCCCCCCTCACCCTCGGTGATCACACGTAGTATATCTACGGTGACCATATTAACCAACGTAAAATAAAGGACATATTTTCAAAATGATTTGGAAAAACGTACATCAACTTGTATGATACAAGTACCTCAAGTATATTTAGATCAAATATTTACCAGTTAATTATATTATTTAATTGCACAAGTTCCACTTCTCGAAAGACACTGTCACCGGATTTTAACCGATTCCGAAAAATGAAACCAAATCCTCATAAAGGACTTCGCCATCCTTTGCTGCCAAAATGCCTTTATCATTATTCATAGTTCACGACGAAGCCAGCGGGGGTTTATTGTTCTTTTTCAGTGGAACTGGAAACTCAGCGTGCTTTTGTGAACAATGAATTTTACTCAAAGTATATAAATTTTTTTATGAAAATGACTAAATATTAATATTTTCTTTTTTAATTATATAAATTTCCCCATCAGTATTAGCAATGATTCGTGATTTATAGATTGTACAAAGATTACCGATTAAATAAAACCCTTAAGTGGGGTGCGAAAGAAACTAGCGAAGGTTTTCATTATATTTTATAAGGGACATTTTTATTTTGTCATATTCTCTGTTTAAAAATTGACCTCTGCAAAATCCAAAGCTCATTTAAAGGACAGTTTAAGAAATAAAGGACAAATGGCGTCCTTTACTTTGACAAAAATTATAAAGGACAGGGGGTTAAAATAAAGGACTGCCCTTTAAAATAAAGGACGGATGGTCACCGTAAGTATATCCCAAGAGCCAGCAAAAATTATCCATCACGAAAAAATATGATCTGAAAATTGAACTGAAAAATATGGTTGCAATTTTTGTAAACAAACAAAATTGAATTTTTCGAGTTTTGGTATTTATATGCTTTTTAACTGCCTGCTATGTGACTTTATGATAGTGCTAAGTCGTTTTTACTTCCAGAAATGTTCCTGGCGAGCATTGAACGTTCACATTCCTTTTTTTACCTCCCTTTTATTAGCTCGGGATGTAACTATGTAATATTGTTGCGCCTAAATGATGCAGCGATTTTTATTCTCAAGTTACATACCTGATAACGGTACGAATGGAAATTATAATAGCGAGGTTTTAGTTTTTTAAACTATAATTTTATTTCTTCAATGGAGGCAACATGAATTTAAGCTTGTTTACAAATAAAACGAAAACAAAGTCAGCTGGTGTGTCTTCTTGTTCCTGTTTTCGTTTACTTTTTTGCTTTTTCTTCTCTTCGGGAGTGAAATTTCGCTTACGCTCTGGATTTTGATAATTGGCTGGTTTTGGCTAATTTTTTTTATCGAACGTAGCTTTTGACTATGTGATAAAAACCTAAGCCCCCGCCCCTCACTGTGACCAGGCGTGGTATTTTTAAACAAAATATATTTAATTTACAAAAAATGAAAAATGTATATTTTTGCACGACAAAAAGTTTATGCCCAGTTCACAAGAACCTCTGTACATACATATGTTTTCTTCATAGGATCAAAAATTATTCTTCCATTTTCATAAAACCAAAAACTTTATGTTCACTTATTGAGTCTTTAAAATGTTGGGTCCACTTTTTTAAGACCATCAATTTATGTACAGTTTTTGAATTACTTAAAATTTACATATGCATATTCAGTTTATAAATAATCAAAAAATTATATTCTGTTTTTACATGACCAAAAATTTATGTTAAAATTTGTATACTACTAAAAATATTCATTTTTCCCCTTACAGTGGCGCCAACGAGCATCTTGCACAGCGGTATAAAAACCAAAATCCATTCAATCACAACTAGAGCCAGAACTACACAAATACTCACATGCATAAATTACTAGGCTTGATCTCGTACTTTTCGGACTAAATCTAGTAAAACTGTCAAATAACAACAATAAGATCACAACGAGTACGGGATCGATTTATAGTAAAATATGGTAAAAAATGGTAAGTTCGGACTGGGTACGGGATCAGGCTTACTATTTCGCTGTTGGCAGCGTTTGCTGAAAATAAAAACTAAAAAATGGCGGAAAAACTTACGGAATTTAATTATATATCTATAGTTGCGTACACACATACATACATACATAAAAAATAAAAGCAAACACTTTCAAAATGGTATTGTATTATATTATATTGTATTTAAAATATAACATTTCGAAAACAAAAGAGTTAGGGCTTCAGAGTTGATATATGAATTTACAATGAAAAAATTAACAATAAAATAACACAAAGAATTTCTTAGATACACACATATGTACATGCATACATTCCTACTACATATTTAACAGACCCACAGCCGCATACGGTAAAAGAAAGTATCACCTACTTAACTTTAAATACAATTTTTTTTTTCACTTCTCCACATCTTCAAACATACTCACAATTGTAAAACAATAATTATAACTGTTATGTATTTAACTTAACACAAAAAACATAAGCTACATACATATCTTTAATAACTTCTTGTTACTGAAACTTAAAGGGATTTCTCAAATACTAAGACAAACAGTTAAAACAAACTGAAATTCAAAAATTAATGAGCATGGCGATGAAAAAAAAAACACTTACAAGCATCTGTACTAGAAACCGCATAACTGTTATATAAACATACAAACATACATACCTAGTTCACTTAACTTCACAATACAATTAAAGAAAACAATAATAAACAAATAAAGGAATAAATAAAAAATATAAAAAACTTCGAAACAGCCGTTTTTGAATTGCAGTTTGAAAATGAAGGTTTACTTAATGATTATCTGCTGTTATATTTTGCTATAAATGGCCTTTCTTGGACCAAATACATATTGCACATTTCCTGCAAGAGTCACATACTCCGAAATCGAGTTAAGTATGTAGAAATAGTGTAAAAATTGCATAGCCGTACCGACTACTAGTAGCTCTCTAGAACAAAATATGTATCAATTTTTAAAATGTTAGTATATATACATATACATACATATGTACATTAGACTGCATCACCAAAAGAGTTGCGATTTCCGACAGAATTACAAAATTTATTATAATTTAAGACGTCCACCAAAATATTTCGAAAAAAATTTAGATTTAAGTGAGCTGGACCGATTTGAAAATACCTCCAAAAATGGAGTTTTTCATGAATAAAAATAGTTTCTTAAAGAACTTTTTGAAAAAGTCCCCTCAGATGACAAGCAGATTAAGCTTAAGAAATCTGCAAAAATATTTGAAAATCTTTTCAACGGAATCGTAAGAATGAGATTTTTGATGCGGTTTTTTTTTACTTTTTTCAAAGATTGATTTAAGAAAAACTTAAATAACTAGGCCAAAACTATTTTGATTTAGACTTATGGGATCTCAGTAGAAAGGTATTTTCACACTGTTTTTATTTCTGTCCAAAAAGTAATTCGTGCCCAAATTTTTATTTTTTTTTTCAAACACCAACACATCTTAATTTAACTTTGAATGACATTCGTTCATCCTACCTTTCTCTTTCATCCTGTGAATGAGTTTATTAGCAAAGAAATAAAAAGGGTGAGAAAATACCTTTCCAATGACACCTCTTTAGTCTAAATCGGAAGAGTTTAGGTTAAGTTATTCAAGTTTTTCTTATACCAATGTTTGAAAAAAGTTAAAACACAGCATCAAAAATCTTACCATTACTATTCCGTTCAAATTTTTTTTTAAATGTTTTTATGCAAATTTTTTAAGCTTACACCGTTTTGTCATTTGAGGGGATTTTTTTTCAAAAAAATCTTTAAGAAACTATTTTTGTTCATAAAAAACTCCATTTTCGGAGGTATATTCAAATCGGTCCAGCTCACTTACACCCCTGTTCTGCAACTCTTTCGTATTCGCATTTTGCTACGAATCGTAGAAATAGAATGCTGCAATCCGAATCGTATTTTCGAACTTTCGAAATTCGTAACAATGGCATGCCTAAAAACGAACGAGTTTGCTTGTTTGCGTAATTTTGTACGAAAACAATTCTGTGTCGGAGGCGAAATAAAAGATGTAAATCGATGTGTGTTTGCAAGAAATCTTGGTGGTGTTCATTTAAACAGATAAATTTGCCTTTCGCATATACGTATATTTTTATCCACTGCTTTATATAAACGAGCAAAAAAGAATATTTGTTGTCCCTTATCGAGAAACTTGTTTCCGGTTTAGTTATTTGTACAACGATTTTCGGTTGTTGTGTCCAAACGCACAGCCCGAATCCAAAAACTTTAAAATACCCGTGTAATAAAAGGATTCACATTTTATTTAAGATAAATGTTTCAAATTTCCTACCACTAGCTTGTTAATAAACTCGGTTTGCACTATGCACTTTTTTGCAAATTTCGACATGGGTTCTGCGCTAAAATACTGTGGACGGCATAGCCGGAGTGATATGCACAAGAAATGTTGTATACCTTTGACATGCGGAACCCCCTCTTCCCCGCAACACAGAAAGGAGAATTCTACTTAGTAAGGGTTATAATAACTAAGCGCGGCCGAAGGCAGAAGCAAGCGCAACAGGTGGTGGACCTAACAAAGTGCATGTTTTCAATGTCTAGGAAGAAGCTGCTATTGCATTAACTGGATTGAGAACCAGAGCTTCAGGCATAGGAGGAGTTCTGGCTTGGGGTTCACCAATTCAAGAAGATTAAATCTGACGATGTAATTTTGCATTGCGGGTGAGTTCCAACACTAAATTCGGAGTGGCAAAAAAAAAAGGTTTTTCTTGTGTTCTATTTATTAAAATAATGTGATTATACACTTGCATGTTTTAAACAACATATCTTCTAGACAGAGCCTTTAAAAAAAGATGTATATAATGTTCACTGTTCATACATATGTATGTGCAGTCAGTGCCAAAGGTTAGTGTACACCTTTTTATACCCGAGCGCACTTGTGCACAAGGGTATTATAACTTTGTTCACATAACGGTTGTTTGTAACAGGCAAAAGGAATCGAGATAGAGATAGACAAATGTATACATAAATTATCAGAATGAAAAGAGAAATCGATTAAGCGGTGACTGTCTGTCCGTCCGTCCGTCCGTCCGTCCGTCTGTGCACACGATAACTCGAGTAAAAATTGAGATATCTTAACGAAACTGGGTATGTGCACTTCTTTCGGGCGTAGGACGGATGGTATTGAAAATGGGCAAAATCGGACAATAACCACGCCTACCTCCCATATAACGGTAATTTTCAGAAATACGAAAACTGCGATATTTTAGTAACTACTGAAGATTATTCACTCAAAATTGATATTTACAATAATTTTTAGACGAAAAATAAGAATATTATACATTTTTGGAAAATGGGCGTAGCCACGCCCACTTATGGATACATGTGTATATCTTGGTAACCGCTGAACCAATTTCTTCCAAACTTGGCACAGTTGTTAGTCTTGCTACAGCATACCAAATGGCCGAAAATTTTTAAAATCGGACACTAACCACGCCTACCTACCATATATTGGTAATTTGGAGAAATACGAAATCTTCGATAGATCAAAAAATATTAAAGCTAATTTACTCAAAATTTATGCTTGCAACAATTCTTTACCAAGAAATACGTTTATGATAAAATTTTGGAAAATGGGTGTGGCACCGCCCACTTATGATCACATATATGTATCTCGGTAACCGTTCTACGAATTTGTACCAAACTCGGTATGATTATTGTGCTTGCCACATAGAAGCAAAACGTCGAAAATTATTGGAATCAAATTCAAATTACGACCACTTTTCATATAACGGCAAATTTCAGAAATGCTTGAAACTTCAATATTTCGAAATTTAAGGACGCTAATTTACTCAAAATTGATACACACCGGCTTACCATGAGCGGTAGCTTTCGGAAAGGTGAAAAGGCATATATGTAATACTTGCGCCGGGTATTTAATGTTCGGCCCCGCCCGAACTTAGACTTTCTTACTTGTTTAAATTATGTATGTGAATTTTGCTAATTTCTTAGCTAAAATCACAAGACATAAGAAATGTTAAGCACCGCTCCCTTCTTGCTCGCTCTTTATATAGTATCTTAGTATAGTATCACGCAATCGTGGGCGATCAAAGCACTCTTGGTGTTACATGAAATATATCCTTTGAAATTTCACTAACTAATACTTGTTACCTTGTTTATACCGACACATGACCCAGTTCGCTGTGATTCAAAGCGGATGCACTATATAAATTTCGATACGCTCTGAATTTCAAATGTGTATTGACTCGAATTTGATTTCAAATCGGTTTTTTATTTCTCAAATCGGTAAGAAAACAGGTATAAACACATCACTCATTCGACGCGAAATGGAAATAGGCTGATTTTCTTTATACTGCCCCTTTTAAATTTAAATTATTATTAAAATAAATTTGAATTATTGATTGAAATATCGAAGTTAAACAAAAAATTGTGTATACTTTTGAATGCGGTTTCAGAGAGTACGCGGTAAGGACACAGGTATAAGGTTAAGTCAAATTGGTTTTTTCTTAATGCGGTTCTTGTTATTCACGATGACTGGAAATGGTTTTTGTGTGTTTTGTTGATCAAATTCTTGTCAAAAAACTTGTTGCACTATCCTATAATAACACACTTTTCACTTAATATGTAAAAAAAAATATTGTAAATTGCTTCTTGTTACAGATGAGAAAAATTTAGTAGAAGGTGACGACCAAGTCTTACCGGACTTACTGTATTATAACAAAGTGCTACAAGAAAAAACATAAAATAGAAATACCTGAGAAGCTATGTATATTTCCTGGTAGGCCTTTTCGAGTAAAACCAGAATCGAATTATGAAATTATAACTTTGTTTAAATAGCGGTTGTTTGTAACAGCCAAAGCGAATCGAGATAGATATAGACAAATGTATACATAAATGATCAGAATGAAAAAAGAAATCGATTAAGCGGTGACTACTCGAGTAAAAATTGAGATATCTTAACGAAACTTGGTATGTGTACTTTTTTCAGCGTAGGACGGATGGTATTGAAAATGGGCAAATTCGGACAATAACCACGTCTGCCTCCCATATAACGGTAGTTTTCAGAAACAAGAAAACTGCGATATTTTGGTAAATAGTGAAGCTTAGTAACTCAAAATTGATATTTATAAGGAATTTGAGACGAAAAATAATAATATTATAAATTCTTGGGAAATGGGTGTAACCACGCCCACTTATGATTACATCTGTATATCTCGGTAATCGCTCCATCAATTTCCCCCAAACTTGGCGCGATTGTTGCCCTTATTATTATTGTGATTTTATTTTTTTCCTCCGAAACGTTTTTTAATTGTAGCTATTTCTCTGAGAAAGTGTTCGCCTTGTTCATCATTGAACTTGCCCAAATTATGTGGGAAGAAGTCCAAATGCAAATGAAGGAAATGAATTTATATCGACATGTTAAAACCCATTCCACCGTAAGCTTTCACAAATATGTTCACAATCGTGACGTAGTCGTCGCTTTTCCATGTACGTTTTTTTACTGAGTTTAGCTTGTTCAAAAAGCTCACTTCGCTCATAATTTTACGAATTTGAGGACCAATGAAGAAACCTGAGATTCAAAAAAAGAGATAAAACCAATAAAAAAGTATTCGATGAGCGAATAAAAAATTAATCCCTCCTTTTATTTTGGCTTCACTTAATTTTGGGAACATCACTTAATGATAACAAAAAGCGTTGCTATTTGCATACAATTTTTTTACAACTAAGAGATGGATTGCACGAAAAAAATC